AAGCCTTCCACATTAAAAATATGTATGTATTTCAAAAAATGTTTTTGAATACTACTTAGAATGGCATAAGCAATGAAGAGAACTGTTTCTTTCAAAAAGCAAAGTCATAAATACCAAGTATTATAATAGCTTACAAGGAAAAAGAATATGAAAAGGAATATATATATATAAATGAACCACTATACTATACACCAGAAACTAACAACATTGTAAACCGACTATACTTCAATAAATAATTAAATCAATAAACACCAAGTGTGAGTGGGCTAAATTATAACCTTTGTCCCCTGCCCCTGAGAGAATGCTGTGTGTAGGAGAAAACAAATCTTTTTCCTTCTAGATGCCTTGACTGCCTATTTGATCGTCTAAGGTAAGGAAAAGCAAGAACTTCAAAGTTTTGCTGGGTCTTTGAGTAGATAGATGGTAGAACTAGAGGCAGCTGGCTGTGATGTGAAATGATCACCATTGTGGTCATTTCTTAGATACAAGGAGGCGTCTGGGTGTGATTAGGAAACTGGAGAATAGAAAATGAGGAATGGAAAACACTCTGCGAAACAATATAAAATACTACATCTATTATGGCCAGGAACTTACATAAAATGTGCTTTGTTTAGAAAATGCTTCTCCCTAATATGAGCTGATTCATTCATTCAACAGATATTATCAATCACCTATTATTTACCTAGTATATTTTACATTGTGGAGTTACAATGTTAAACAAAGTCCCTGCCTTCAGCAGTTTACTTTCTAGTGGGCAGAGAGGCAATATCTATTAAAAATATGTATAATGTAATCTCAGCTAATGACAAGTACTATGGAGTATGTACTCCATAGCCAACTAGCCACTGATATGGCTGGTTGTGATACTTGGTGTGGTTTCACATCCCTTGTACTCCCCTGCATTTTCTCTCTCTCTTCTCTGACTCACTTCCCTTTTCCTGCTCACTCCAACTTCCTTGACATTGAACTTCTCAATAAAGTGTTAGTATGCAAGCTTTAGCTTGTGACTATGTTCCCCACATACCCCCCTGAACATGGGCCAGCCTTAGCCTTGTTGTGACTGGTGGTGTTCCTTTAGTTACTAGACCACAGGTAGGTCTAGGAGATGCAAGCATAGCAAGAACAGGGGATGCGCTCAGGTCTGGGGCAGTAGCTATTTGCTTGCCAGCATAGAAGTAGAGTATTTCCATGCCATAGCAATTGATGTGGCCATTCTAAAGTATATCGGCTGAAAATCAGCCCGGCTCTTATGGAGAAAAATAAAGCAGGCTAAGAGGATGGAGAATAACAGAATAACTGTATTCTTCCTGAGAGTATAGTGTCTTTGGGGGAGATGTGTGTGTGTACACGTACATGCACACATGTGGATATTTTATACAATAGTTACTGTTGGATGACCAGAAAGTATGGGGGATCAGTTCACCACACACTGACAGGGAGACTTCAGTGGGAACAAGAACTCAGAGTGTCAAAGCCAACTTTACACTCTTCTATTTCTTTATTAAGTTTTTATTTATTATTTTATTTTGGGGGGAGATAATTGGGTTTTTATTTATTTACTTTTTTTTTTAACAGAGGTATTGGGGATTGAACCCAGGACCTCGTGTTTACTAGGCATGTGCTTTATACCTGAGCTACACCCTCCCTGCCTTAGACTCTTCTGATGAAGTTTCCTTTGTGTTATTCTGGACTGAATAATTCATATTTTAGGATATATACTACAACAAATTATAGTTTCCTGGTGTGATGGAGAGAGACAGATCCTAGTTCAAGACCAAAACCTTATAGGTGGATGTTTTCTGTGTTTGTTTTAAGGGGAGCAGAGGTTACAAGAAGGGAACCCTAGGAACCTCAGGGGTGCCCTGAGGTTGATCTCTGCCCATGCACTTAATCACATGTCCTCTAAGGCCTTGCATCATCAGTTGTGCCCTCACTTTATTTTCAGCCTTTCCCCCAGTTCTACCTTTTCCTTCTTCCATATGTAAATCTCTTCCATTCTATACAAACCTCTCCTGTGACCCTGGCTACACACTAATTTTTTCCATTTTCTATATTTTGTATGCTGCCTCTGTTTTATCATCTCACCTTCATTCCTCAGTCTGCTGGAATATAGCGTTAGCCTCTAGGCTTCCATGAAAACTTTTCTCTCAAAGGTCACAAATCAACTCTTAATTGCCAAATCCAAGGGCTTTCTCTACTTTGTCTGACAGGACCTACCTACATTTGAAAATGTTGACTACTCGCCCCTCCACCTTGTGAAATACCATTGTCTGCTGGTTTTCCTCCCGCCTGGTTCTCTTTTAGTCCCTTTGCCTCCTCCTAAACGTAATATCCTCGAAGTCCCACAAAAAGCTGTCTCCACCTTCTTCTGGGTTCCATCTCTCAGTGGCTTCCCTATCCTAGTCAACCACACACACTAAAGCCTTAACATAATTTTTGACCCTCAGCTTAACCCTCTTCATGCAGTCATACATCAATAGTATCTGGAAGAAGAAGGAAAAAAACATTTTCAGGTAACTTCACTTTCCCCACTGCTACTAGCCTAACTCAGCCCCTCATTATAGTTTGCTTGGACTTTGCAATAGCTTTAAGCCAACTTTGTCTGCCTCCCACTTTCTCCCTCCTTCAGCCTCTTCTCCATAAAGTCAACAATGTTTTATCTTTTAGAAAGATAGAGCAAATCCTTAACTCTCCTACTTAAACCTTCAGTGGACTTTTGGTTTTAAAAAGTGGTTTTAAATACATACATATAGAGGTTTCTTAAAAAACTAAAAATAGACCTACTGTATGATCCAACAATCCCACTCCTGGGCATCAATCCAGAGAAAAATATAATTTGAAAAGACACATGCACCCCAATGTTCACAGCAGCACTATTTACAATAGCCAAGACATGGAAGCAACCTAAATGTGCATCGACAGATGATTGGGTAAAGAAAACGTGGAGTGTGTGTGTGTGTGTGTGTACGTATATATATATATAGTGTGTGTATGTATATACACACACACCCAATGGAATACTACTCAGCTGTAAAGGAGAATACAGTAATGCCATTTGCAGCAATATGGGTGGATGGATAGACCTGGAGATTGTTATACTAAATGAAGTAGGCCATAGAGAAAGAAAAATACCATATACCGTATTGTATCACTTATATGTGGGATCTAAAAAAAAAAAGACACAAACAAACTTATTTATAAAACAAAAACACACTCACAGACATAGAAAACAGACTTGTGATTACCAGGGGGCAAAGGTGGGGGATGAAGAGATAAATTGGGAGTTTGGGATTTGCAACTACTAACTCCTATATGTAAAACAGATAAACAAACAAGGTCCTCTGTACAGCAAAGGGAACTATATTCAATACCTTGTAATAGCCTATATTGAAATATGATGTGAAAAGGAGTGTATATATATATGTGTGTGTGTGTGTGTGTGTGTGTATATGAGTATATATATAACTGGAATCACTGTGCTGTACACCAGAAATTATTACAACATTGTAAAACTCACTATACTTCAATTTAAAAAAAGTGAAAAGATATACATGAAAAGAAAATCATCCTTCTACCTACCCAGATTCCCAGGCAGGAGGCAACCACCAGAACTAATTTTGTGTCTTTCCTGCCAGAAATATTCTATGCCTTTACTAGCATATGGCATACAACAGCCAAATGACAATATAGCTTAGAGATTTGTTCTTATCCATATACAAAACTTACATTATTTTATAATGCTGCTTATTGTGGATATAATTGTTAAATTTTGTTATTAGAAACAATGCTATAAATACCCTTGTTAATGCATCTTTATGCACATATACAAGTATATCTTTGCAATAAATTATTAGAAACAGAATTGTTGGGTGAAAGGATATACATTTTACATCTAGATAGCTACTGCCAAACTTGATCTTCATAAAATATCTATTTCTCCAACTTTATACAGCACAATGCATTATGAAATTATTTTAGCTTTGTCATTCAGTAAATGAAAAAGTGCTATTGCATTGTAGGGTTTTTTTGTTTTGTTTTGTTTTAAGATTTTACCAGGAACTTTAATTAAGGCATCATCCTATATAGATCTTTGCTAGTCCCTCCAGAGCTCCCAACTCATCCTTATCTCCATGTATCTACGGCATTGTAGTTTTGATTTGCATTTCTATCATTACAAGTGTTTTTCCATTTCAGTGAGCTGTTTCTTGCTCATTTCCCTGCTGGATCATTGGTTTCATTGATTTATAGAAACTTTATTTGGGAAGTCTGTGCTGGAAATGGAGATTCTGGCAAGCCTGAAGAAATACAGTATGAAGACACAAGGCAAATATGGGGCAAGGTGTCCACATAAGGAAAAAGACACTGGAACGGGAGGTAGAAGGATGTGGAATACCAGCTTTTTCTGTTCTGTGTGTTTTATAGGCCTTGCTTCCTGGGCATTAGTGCATGTACACTAGGTATAGTTTGCAAGGTGACCCACTGAGGTTCAGAAAGAAAATATTAGAAATGTTGTTTGTTTCTTTTTATCTAAAAACAGGACATTGTTACTAATATTTAATATATGTGGGATGTCTTGCATCTTTACTCAGTCTGAAGGTCAGATGGTCACAGAAGGTAGTGGGTATCCAGCAACAAGAGTAGGAATTCCACAACTGTCACCCTCCTGTGTTTACTCCTTTTCAGTCCATTGTGACACAGTAGTAAAGTAAAAGATTTACCAATTATGATTTCTAGTTTTAGCTAAGCTAACCTCACAAAATGTTGGTGTCCTGCCAGGGTCCTTCTTACTGATCACTGCACCCCTTCCTCATTACACTGTGACTCTTGGCTGCTAACAGTTCTTGGTTGTACCCTTCTGCTGAGGAGATTTGCTCTTAAATGATGGAAGTTACCTAATCAGGGAGGCTGATTTCCACCACCCTCCCTCCCGTGCTGCAGGCGGCCTGTAGTCAATAACTGGAAGATAAAGGGGTATAAAAGTCTTTTCTCCTTTCTTCAAGGTGAGGAAATGCTACCGTTCATACTCCAGAGCCCTTGCGGGATCAGCCTGAGGGTAAGCTTCAGCTGAACCCACTGCCTAGCTCCTTCCCCTGCCCTGTTCTGTTTTCTGAACTGCCTTACAGATTTCAGCTGACATCACTCACCTTCTCGAAGAATCCCAGGCACAAGAATCCTCATCTCCAACTTGGCTTCTTGAGAACGTGGCTTGAGACAGTAAATATACAATGTTAAACAGTCATGGAAAGAAGAAAGAACTGGAAAGCTCAATAATAAAAGCAAAAGCAACAACAAAATGGCAGAACTAGATTTTTCCTATTCCCTGGACAGTCTCTTCTTAACCAAAGTATGTGATAAAAATGACAGTTTAATGAGATCTAACAAGTCAGTTAAAACAATTAGAAACTATAAAGAAGACTTTGAAATACAGATTTTTATCCACTTTTCTAGCAAAAGAATCTTGACTTAGTGAAAATAATGGGTTGAGGCGTTAGCTAATGATACTATAAAAACACTATAAGCAAGGTATTTAAAATTGATGCATACTGAATATGAAACTAAATTGCAACAATCTTTTTAGTGATATTTTAAATTATGTGAAATGCAACACTTTATACAGTTTCAATAAACTGATAAATGTTCAAAATTCTAAAATTTCTTATTTCTTAAGTTTCTTAAAAGTGGAAGATAAGACAAAACAAAAATAGCAATAACTAAAAAAAAATCAACTCTTATGCCTCTAGGGAGATAATTTCTTTCCTCCCACAGCTAAAAATAGCTAAAATAAAGCATTTTTAAGAGACAAACTAAAACGCATTCTTTAGGTAACATATATTGAAGGGAATATGCATAGAAAATATTATGCAAAGTTCAAGAAATGATTATTAAAACAAATTATGCCATGTGAGAGGTTCCTGTTCATTTGAATGAAAGTACAATTGTTTCTCATCTGTTTTAGCTTACAATATTTGGTAAGCTCTGAGTCAATGAAATACAGGAAGAACTATTTTTCTTAGGCCGTTAGAAGAAAGATATCCCAGAGAAGTTATGTTTTCAATAATAAATCACCTTGCTAATAAATCAACTTTTCATGACAAAACAATATTGATTTTTGGAGCAACTGATTTCACTAGAACAAATGAATTTTCTGGAATACAGTTACAGCTAATAACACAGGTGAAATCATATCACTGGATTCTTCATTAGTAATTTATAATAACAAGAAAGTTGGGCCAGACTATACAAACTTCTACAGGATATCATCTGTCTATTTTAATAAAAACAAGACTTTAAAATTTTAGTGTAGACTCTTTACAATACTTTTTAATTATGTGTAGAATTATACAGCAAAGAGCAGTTCACTGGTATTTTGTGGCAAAATACAAGAGCTGCCAAAGTGAAAATGAATTACACATTTTCCTTTTACAATAAGCAAAGTTTCAAATTTCCTGTCCTTTCCTTTGCTGACAAGTGGCTTTCTGTAAAATGCCACGTTGGCAGATATTCTGGGGAACAGAAAAAAGGAACACTTTATCTGTTCCTTCTAGGTAACAGTGACCTTTTAACAATGAAAGGAAAAGTAACTGCTTATCAAAAGCAAGCACAATATGAAAACATGTTTGGAAATGTTTCTATCATTTTGTGATTTTACTGCTGAAAATGACGTGAGTTTGTCGCTTATAAAAATTCAAGGATGCTGAAATCTGAAAATAGAATTATCAAATTTGTTTGAAATTTTTCCAAATGAAGAGTTACAGTAGACTTCTAATCCATATGTTAGATATAAATATGCAACATCTTCTGATTGACATTAGGGAAATTGGGTATTTCTAGTGGAATTTCAACAAAAATCTTTCCATAATTAGGGTATAGGTAAGAAAAAAAACGAGTATTCTGATTTTGCACCCCTTCCCTTTGAATCTTAGTACTTTTTTGAGGTGTGTTTTTCATCCATTATAGACATTAAAACTAAGAAATGAAATAAATTGAATGTAGAATCAGACTTTCAAGTAAAGCTTTATAACCAAAATGTTGAACTAAGATTTTCAAAAATAATTAAATTGTTATTATTATTTTTGCTGAGAGCAAAATATTTGAGAATCCTCAATAAGTAAAGTAAAAATTTTAGAAATCTCATTCTTTAATAATTTCTATTCCATGTGTATTTTTTTTAATACAAAGAACATTATTATAGTACATATAGATAATTTATTAACTAAAGATTAGGAGTAAATACTTAAAATTTTTTATGATGAATATGCAGTCAAAAAGTTTGATGACCACTGGTCTAGTGAATAGTAGTAAGTACTTCAGAATGCTCTTTAATCAAACTGTCCAAGCCAATACAATTAAGTATTTTAAGATAGGTGAAAATCCAAAGTACGAGGATAAAAATACAGTTTTCAATTTTTTTCTTGGGCAAAAACCCTGAAATTTTACATGAAGTAATTCAGTGTATGGAACTCAAACATCCTTCTGGTAACAGGAGAGCTATGTCAACAGAGCAAACATGTGAACGAGACTGCTGCAAAGTGAACTGGGGTCTACCTTACTTGTTGACTATCGAGAGCCAAGAGAGATGGGCCACCTAGGAGTCTTTCACACATTAATTCTACTAATACAGAAAGATGATCCGACAGATGTCATATTCTCACCATTTCATCAAACAGATGTCACTCTTGAATTCACAAAGGTGGAGAGAAGACAGCAGCATCTCTCTACAACTTCCAAAGAATGGAAGTTTTGACAGACATTCCTATTCTATTGGCCAAGGCAAAATGTACAAGAATGAGAGAATGAATTCCCTCAAAAACAACTTAAAAACCCTAAAGGCAACTGGTTACAAGTTTAATACACAAAGACTAAGAGCTTTCTCATAAATAGAAAAGACTCAGAAAATAAAGTTAATAAAAGATCCCATAAGCTATTTAAAATTGTATATACTCAGGGCCAAACCTGAGAAATGTACTGGGTCTGTATGAAGCCAGTTGGAGGAGACTGAAGATGATCTGAGTGTATTAACCAGAGTCAGCTGGTGGTCACTTCCTCAGGGAAGACTGCTCAGACCCCAACGTTAGATCAAATCAGTATAAGCCCACCATAGACCATGTATCTCTCCCTTACAGCTTCACGATTTTATGTTTATATGTACAATTGTTTGCTTAGTCTCTATTTCCCCTACTGGATTTCATAAAATCTATGAGAGCAGGTACATTACTTTAGTTACATTTATATCTCCAGTGCCTAGCAGAGTTCCTGGTGTAATAGGCACTCAATAGCTGTTTCTAAAGTGAGTAATGAATGAAGGAGAAGATGGAAAGACATGTATTTTGCTTGGTTAGACTTAATATTGTAAAAATGTTATTTCTGTGTAGATTAATCTACACAGTGAATATAATAACAATATCGACAGCATTATTTTTTGGAATTTAAAGTGTTATTAGAATTCATCTAGATTCTGGAGATGAATGGTGGTGGTGGTAATAGTTGCACAATGATGTGAATGTGTACAACAAAACTGTACACTTAAAAATGGTTAGAAAGGTAAAGTTTATGTACATTTTACCACAATAAAAAAATATGACTGGCCAAAAACATTCTAGAAATATGAGAATAGATGGGAAAAAACCTTTTTTTAAAAAAAGCATTAATGGAGGAGTAGTCTTACTAGAATTTTAAACTTCTAAAGCTAAAGTACTTGAAATACTTTCCAAACAGATAAAGAAGTCAATGAAGCTAAATAAAGAATCTAGAAAAAGACTAATACTTACATGGGAGTTTAGGTTATGACAAGGACAACATTTCAGAATACTGAGTGGCTGGCTCAACAGTAGTTTTGGTAAAACAAGATAGCCATAAAAGAAAAAAGCTGAATTTAAATTCTCACTTCTTTAGAAAAATTACAAACTTTGAACAAGTGATTCACATTTATGGTAAAACAAAACAAAAAACCTTGAAACAGCACAAAACCGTGTACATTAAAAAGTGAATAGAGAAGCAGCTGCTTTCATATACCATTAGTGGTGCTGTAAATCGGTATAACCTATGGGAGGGCAGTTTATCAACAACAACAAAATCCACAAAAGCTCTGAACAGTTTCACTTCACATAAATACACACAAAAATACACAAGGATAGTAACTGTATCACTGTAATTTTTAAAGAAAGATCTAGCAATATCTTAAATTTACAAATAGAATACTGGTTAAACTATGCTACAATAATACAATAATATGCAGCCATTAAAATTAGGTATGCCCTTCATACACATTTTTAAATGAAGAAAACTGTACAGAACCATATATATAGCTCATTTTTATTTGAATTAACTTCTAATGGGATTTTTATACTAGTGTACACATTTTTAAAAGTCTACAGAAGAACTGGTCAACAGTGGTTACTTCTCAGGAGGGAAATTATTTGAGGGGGGAGACTTATTTTTCCATTTATATCTGTTATATTTTAATTTTTTATGTAACTATGAGCAAGTTTTATCAGTTTGTGATAAATTCTTTAAAATATCAATACACTGACATGGCCACATAAAATGGCTACATTAAAATGTCATGTACGCAGTCAGAAATCTTTGCTGCAGTCACCTTTTAGGAAAAAAGCGGGCGCTAAGCTCCAAGAACAGGTTCTCTCTACAGACGGCGATATCTCAGGAAGATAATTGACTGTAAGAGGAGATTAGACTTTCTCCATTGTTAAAGGAAAATTAAGGTGTAGTTACAAAATCATGGAAATAGTTTGTCAGTTTTAAAAGATTTTCATCAAAAAGAGGTTTCTTTTTTAACACAACTAATTTTTTAAAAAATTAAGTAGTTCATCTCAAAGCATTTTGGTCAGTTTTGTTTAACTGACATTTAGCTATAAAACAATACACTTTAAAATACAGATAATATTAAAATGTACAACCTTCTGATTAGTTTTAGGACTTATCTACCGAGGACAGTGAAGTAAGTTGTTAATGTTACTTGTTGATTTTGCAGAACTCCAATATATTGTTTTGAATGGCTGCAAGAAATAGAGAAGTTATTTCTCTGGAAAAAGCAACTGCTGTTCCACTCTACTGTGCTTATACATATTCCTAATTTTTGAAATATAAGTGTAATTTTGATCCTAGTGAGAGCACTCTCTTCATAAGATAAAAATATTGAGAATACTATTCCAGAAATACCATATACAGACATACAATCTTTTAAAGAAATACTAACCTATGTTACTAAAATTTGGATTGAACACTTAATTGAAACATATTTTTTACAGAATCAAATTTCTTGTGGTTGTTCCATACA